TGATCTTTGACAAACCTGACAACAACAAGCAATGGGGAAAGGATTCTGTATTTAATAAATAGTGTTGGAAAACTGTTTAGCCATATGCAGAAAGCTAAAACTGGACTCCTTCCTTATACTGTATACAAAACTTCGCTCAAGATGGATTAAAGACTTAAATAAGACCTAAACCACAAGAAAGCCTAGAAGAAAACCTAAGCAATACCATTCAGGACATAGGCATGGGCAAAGACTTCATGACCAAAATACCAAAAGCAATGGCAACAAAAGCCAAAACTGAGAAATGGGATCTCATTAAACTTAAGAGCTTCTGCACAGCAAAAGAAACTCTCATCAGAGTGAATAGGCAGCCTACAGAGTGGGAGAAAAGTTTTGCAATCTGTCTATCTGACAAAGGGCTAATATTAAGAATCTACAAAGAACCTAAACAAATTTACAAGAAAAAAACAACCCCATTAAAAAGTCAGCAAAGGATGTGAACAGACACTTCTCAAAATAAGACATTTATGTGACCAAAAAAATATGAAAAAAGGCTCATCATCACTGGTCATTAGAGAAATGCAAATCAAAACCACGATGAGATACCATCTCATGCCACTTAGAATGATTATCATTAAAAAGTCAGGAAACAACAGATGCTGGAGAGGATGTGGAAAAATAGGAATGATTTTACACTGTTGGGAGTGTAAATTAGTTCAACCATTGTGGAAGATAGTGTGGCAATTCCTCAAGGATCTAGAACCAGAAATACCATTTGACCCAGCAATCCCATTACTGAGTATATACCCAAAGAATTATAAATCATTCTACTATAAAGATACATGCAGACGTATGTTTACTGCAGCACTATTCACAATAGCAAACACTTGGAACCAATCCAAATGCCCATCAGTGATAGACTGGATAAGGATAAGGTAACACATATATACCATATAATACTATGCAGCTATAAAAAAAGATGAGTTCATGTACTTGGCAGGGACATAGATGAAGCTGGAAACCATCATCCTCAGCAAACTAACACAAGAACAGTAAGCCAAACACCGCATGTTCTCACTCACAAGTAGGAGTTGAACAGTGAGAACACATGGATACAGGAAGGGGAACATCACACTTTGGGGCCTACTGGGGGTTGGGAGGTAGGGGAGGGATAGCATTAGGAGAAATACCTAATGTAGAGGACAGGTTGATGGGTGCAGCAAACCACCATGGCATGTGTATACCTGTGTAATAAACCTGCACGTTCTGCACATGTACCCCAAAACTTAAAGTATAATATTAATAAAAAAAGAATCTAAAAAAATCTGAAGAAATGAGTTTCTGCAGATTCTTACATTCTATGCTTGAATTATAAATAATAATTCATGTGATAACCTATTTTGTCAATGTAATATGAATGTATTAATTTTTCATCTTTATTTGTATTGTAGATGAAAAATCAGCTTATTTGAAAAATTTTAAGATAACATACCTTACCATTGGTATTTATACAATTATTAGACATTAAATTCTTGACACATAATCTATCTGGCTAAAAAATATAATGCCATGGTAAGGATATACATAATCTATAAATAGTATAACTCTTATTCACTTTAACATGAATAATCTAGAATACCTTAAGGTTTCTTTTATTGCCACGTATACGGATGGGTAATTATATACATAGATGTTTACTTATTAAAAACAATAGCTAACAAGTATTGAATGCTAGATACTCTGCCCTTTACATGCATTATCTCATTTAATCCTCCCAACTACATCTTCTTCAAATAACTCATGAGGAAATTGAGAACTGAGAGAAATTACATACTTTACAAGTTTATAACTAAAACCTTCAGACACAGTGTTTGAACCCATATAATGTTTATTATCAAATATCTCACTGACACAATGTAGTCTGTTCTTCATTCCTTCAAGGTTTAGTTTTTTATACTCTTTAACTCCAATGCATGTAATTTTCCTTTTTTTAGTGCTTATTGTATGGAAGACTTTGTGTTTTTTGTTTTTTTTACTTTTTATTTTGAAAGAATTTTAGAATTAAAAATACAAAACAGAGCAACCTTGTTCTTTGAACAGTTTTTACAATATGGTAAGCCAATGATTGTTTTGTGGATTTTTTCACAATTATACAATTTCACAATTACAAAGGCATTGCCTTCTCACCTTTTAACTGTCAAGTTGATGGCCAGGATTTCTTGTGCTTTAGCAGAGAATGATAGCAAATAAAACTGAAAGAATAATATTTAACTTAAAAAAAATTTGAAGAGCTAATCCTTATAAATTTAGGCATAAGACAATCTTTATTCTAGTGTAGCAAAGGCTACAGTGGATTTGTTAAATTTCTATAAAATGAAAAAAAAAGGATATGTATAAGATAAACGTCTAGTAGTTCACCCAATTTTTGGTTTTTAGAACTAAGAAATGCCTGTTAAAAACAACAACTACTAAGGCCAGTATGAGAGAATTAGTACTTTACATGTGAGGAGACTACTTAGCCACCTAAGAAATCTTAGGCTAAAAATAAATATCTAGTATCAAAATAGTTGAAGTAAAATAATACATGAATATATAAAATAATACAGGAATATATAATAAGAGATTCTAAGGAATCTCTTTTTAAGAAGTTAAGCTCCTTCTTACTTAAATGAGGTAAAAGAACCAAAAATAGAAGAAAAAAATTACACCTTTACTGAAACTAGAAAAGGCCCCAGCCTTATACTACTAGCTCTAGTTTTACTCTCATTGCCAGGTTTAAATTTTATTTTTAAGCAGTGCTGTAGCAAACAAAGTTGTATATATTACTTTACCTAATGATACTTTATTTCTCTCTGTGTGTGTGTGTGTGTGTGTGCATGCATTTGCACATCTGCATTTATTTATTTAAATAAATATTCAGATTAAATCTTCAGGGAAAGTCATATCCAGTAAGCTGTATGTGTGCAAAAGAAGCAGTTTTGTCTTCTGGATATTTCTTTTACTTTCTGGATTTTCCTTACTTTAGTCGTGAATCAGGTTTTATCAACAGTAAGAAAACATATTATCGTATAAAAAGATAATGACTATTTTATGTTAAGCTCTTATATGCCAAGTACTCAGCTAAAGTGCATATCTTATTATATCACCAAATTATTTCTGCTGTGGAGTACAAAGGCAGCTTTTTTTAAACACCTTCCATTATATATTTAAGTAGCAAATAGAATTCTTGAAGACAATGAGGGAACCAGCTATAAAGAAAACATAACCTTTTCCTAAACTCTCTTTTAAGTAAAGAATCCATTTTTTTTGTATTTAGTGAAATTAGACTTGGTAAAAATAATTTATAAGGGCCTTACCATCAGACAGCCACATGTCTTACTATTGCTGACCCAGAACCTACCCTTTAAACATTAGTTGCGTGCAACCATCAGTAGTAACTATGGCTTTCCCATAATGAATTCTGATAAAGAGAAATACAAATTCTGTTAACAATATGGACAGACTCATCATAGCAGTACTGTCATCAGTGGAAGTGATTTACAGTAATACCAGAATATGAAGAGAATTTTTGAACTGTATATGATTGGAAAGCTCATAGAAATGGTCTTATTAATGATGTTATATGTCGATTTGAGATTACCTTCCCCATATGTATCTATCTTAGGAGAAAAATTATCTACATACTTTATGGATTCAGTCAACAATTAGGCAAACACTAGCCCTGCATTATTTTAATTAGTCCATATTTTAAAATAAAATCCAACTTTCTTAGTAAATATACAGTTATTCTGTGAGTTGCCTGTAGAATTCAATACAGAAATCCTTCTGTAGTTAGATTATTTAAATGGGAAGAGTTTTCATGTGGCTGATCATAAATTCACTTGTAGGTAAGCAGTATTTTTTTTCTTATTGTAGATTGTATTGTCTTTAAAGCATCTGTGAATTTAATGACTTTCTTGCTTGATTGTGCATGCATAGAGTATTAAAATGAATATAAAATCCCCATTATATTCCAGATTATTAATATCAGCATCAGCTATTGCAATAAAACCAATGCAAGACTGTACCTACAAAGCCAAACAAATTAATAAAGATGATTAGAAGTGCTTTTGTCATTTTTTTTTTTTTGAGACAGAGTTTTGCTCTTGTCACCCAGGCTGTAGTGCAATGGCATGATCTTGGCTCACTGCAATGTCTGCCTTCCAGGTTCAAGCAATTCTACTGCGTCAGCCTCCCAAGTAGCTGGGATTACAGGCGGCTACCACCACACCCAGCTAATTTTTGCATTTTTGGTAGAGACGGGGTTTCACCATGTTGGCCAGGCTGGTCTCAAAGTCCTGACCTCAGGTGATCTGCCCGCCTCAGCCTTTCAAAGTGTTGAGATTACAGGTGTGAGCCACCACTCCCAGCCTGTTTTTGTCATTTTAAATGGGTCACGTACTAAGGCTATTTTGAAATCATGATTTAAATTTTCCTCCAGTAAAACTCTGAAATGTATTTGCCTTTTTTGAGGGGCGGGGGGGGGGGTGTTCACTTTATTGGGGATTCCCAGGCCGGATTCTGGGACACCAAAGACCTACAAGTATATTGCTATCCGGATTTAGAAGATAAAGATGCAGTCCATTCAAATATGGTGGTTTTTTTTTTTTTTCATTAAGGTAACATAGGAATTATGTTGCAAGTGAATAAATGATGAGATTTGGCATAAGATGAATATAACATGTTAATTAATATAGTTATATATTCATGTTAATGAATATAGTTTGAAATTACTATATTCAAACCACTATTAACTTTTGGGGTATAAGAAAACTCAAGAGAAGTTGGTATACTTAAACTTATCCCATAAGTTGGTATTTTAAATTATATTGTTTTTATCTACTCCATACATCTTTCCAAAGAACATATATTTCTAAATTTATTTTATACTTTTAAAAATATACAAAAATGTTTAAATATGTTGAATTCTTTTGAAAAAACTTTTATTGGATACTGAGAATTAACATTGTCCCTTCTCATAGATATGGAGTCTGGAGAACGGTTACCATCCTCAGTAGCCCCCTCTACTACACCACCTTCATCTTCGACACCTTCTGTGGCTTCAGTAGTTTCAAAAGGTGGCCTTTCCACTGGAGTTGCTTCACTTAGCTCTACAGTCAACCCATGTGGTAAATACCCTTTATTAACTCAATTTTAAAATGTCATTCTTTTAATAATTTGCATAGTATTTTATTGCACTCTGAATAAAATGTTCTCATGACTTGCATTGACTTGTTGAATAAAGGCTAGGTTAAGCACCTAGTCTTTTTGCTTTTTCTGGATTTTACACTGGGATAGCACTGGGTATTCCATGCTTGTTAGGAATTGTCTTTGAGAGTTGAATCTTGATATCTTAATATGTTTTACCATTTTAATTTATAAATTAGTAAAGTCTTTTAAAACAATAGGCCCATGAAGGAATGAAATACAAGGAAGTCCTTGGTAGACACTGCCCTAGATTTACTTCCGGTATTTGAAATGACCTTTGTAAACTCCAGCTATTCCAGTTCACAGATGTATACTAAGGCAGATCATTTACTTGTTGGAAAATATTTTTAGAGTTTACAGCATCAAGTTTTTCTTAAACAGGAATAAAATTTATATTTGCCTAAAAGGAGAGCTTTATTTCAGAAGTGAAAATATTCTCAATTTTGATTAATTAAGATAGCTTTACCTCCCAAATCACTCTTGGCTCTTTTACACAGTTTTGATCAAATACATCCCTTTTATTAAATACCAAAAATTAATTAATTCACTTATTTATTGGTAGGAAGCATTTTAAATTTAACTATTCCTTATAGATCATTTCATGTTTATAAACAGTAACCTAAACAATATTTTACTTATTCATAATTAAACTTGAAACTTTTGCATAAATAAAATGCATAAATATGTAATATTTGCTTACAAAATACCCTAGCAAATTGTCAAATAAATGTTTTCAATTATTTTTGTTTTTCCAATCAATGGAATCACAAGAAGGATGACATTTTATCGTTATATTATCATTGAACCATTTTCTAGTATATTCTTAGGGATTACAAACTAACTAAAATAGCACTATATATTTTTTTTAAATTAATATAATTTCTGCTCCACCCTGTGTACAGTCTTCATCAAGTAATTAACAAGTTTGTTCACATTTCCTTTATATGTAAAATGATGGCTAGACTGTAAAGTGTCCAAGCCTCTGATGATATACTGTGCTCAAAAATAACAATGCTATGATTGACTTTTTACTTAGATAAGTTTATGTAAATGATTGCACACAGTTGTACTTGTGTAATTATATTTTCCTGGTTTTTTTTTAAACTCTTCTTTCTCTTTCCTTTGTTGTGAGCTCCTTTCAGTGTATTCTATTATGCTGTCTTTGTATTTATTTCTGAATTAGTCTTTGACATACATAGTATTCCAAAAGAAATGTCTTTTCTTATGTTGAAGGCTTCAGTAGCATGCTTGAGTACAGGTTCTGAGTTTTCTGAACACTTTTTTCTCATTTAGTTTTCTGAATTAGTGACATTGGAATTGCTTGTGATTCTCATGAGTCATATGTTGGGCACTATTTTTTGTTTGTTAGTATATGGTTGCAGAAAGGATGGAGTATGCTCAGTTGCTGAACAACACTGGAAACCTTGTCTAGAAAGAGATGCATTTTTTTATCGTTATTTGGTACTAGTAAAAAAGGGTGTAGAGTATTTATATTCAGATGCTTATTTTGAAAGAAAGTATAATTCCATTTACCCAGAAATATATCATTTATTAACACATCTTTTTAGTACCTACAACATGAGTTTTTTTCATTTTGTAGGTAAAATAGTTTTTTTAACTTTTACAGAGTTGTAGTCCATGTTTAAAATAAAGCCTTTTACAGCAACCCTAGTCGGGGGCTTATAGATAAAACTCCCATCTCCCTGGGACAGAGCACCTAGGGGAAGGGGCAGCCGTGGATGTAGCTTCAGCAGACTTAAATGTTCCTGCCTGCTGGCTCTGAACAGAGCAGCAGATCTCCCAGCACAGCACTTAAGCTCACTAAGGGCAGACTGCCTCCTCAAGTGAATCTCTGACCCCCATGCCTCCTGACTGGGAGATGCCTTCTGACTGGGAGATGCCTCCCATCAGGGGTTGACAGACACTTCATATAGGATAGCTCCGGCTGGCATCTGGCAGGTGCCCCTCTGGGAAGAAGCTTCTAGAAGAATGGACAGGCAGCAATCTTTGCTATTCTTCAGCCTCTGCTGATGAAACCCAGACAAGCAGGGTCTTGAGTGGTGGACATCCAGCAAACTTCAACAGACCTGCAATAGAGAGGCCTGACTATTAGAAAGAAAATTAACAAACAGAATAGCATCAACATCAACAAAGAGGATGTCCACACAAAAACCCCATCTGAACATCACCAGCATCCAAGACCAAAGGTAGATAAGTCCATGAAGATGAAGAAAAACCAGTGCAAAAAGGCTGAAAATTCCAAAAACCAGAACACCTCTTCTCCTCCAAAGAATCACAACTCCTCACCAGCAAGGGTGCAAAACTGGACAGAGAATAAGTTTGGCAAATTGACAGAAGTAGGCTTCAGAAGGCAGGTAATAACAAACTCCTCCAAGCTAAAGGGACATGTACTAACTCAATGCAAGGAAGCTAAGAACCTTGAGAAAAGGTTAGAGGAATTGCTAACTAGAATAACCAGTTTAGAGAAGAACATAAATGACCTAATGGAGCTGAAAAACATAGCACGAGAACTTCGTGAGGCACACACAAGTATCAGTAGCTGAATCAATCAAGTGAAGAAAGTATACCAGATATTGAAGATCAACTTAATGAAATAAAGCATGAAGACAAGATTGGAGAAAAAAGAATGAAAAGGAATTAACAAACCCCCCAAGAAATATGGGATTATGTGAAAAGACCAAATCTACATTTGATTGGTGTACCTGAAAATGATGCGGAGAATAGAACAAAGTTGAAAAACACTCTTCAGGATATTATCCAGGAGAACTTCCCCAACCTAGCAAGACAGGCCAACATTCAAATTCAGGAAATACACAAAGATAATCCTTAAGAAGAGCAACCCCAAGACACATAATCATCAGATTCACCAAGGTTGAATTGAAGGAAAAAATGTTAAGGGTAGCCAGAGAGAAGTTGGGCTACCCACAAAGGGAAGCCCATCAGACTAACAGCAAATCTCTCTGCTGAAACCCTACAAGCTAGAATAGAGTGGGGGCCAATATTCAACATTCTTAAAGAAAAGAATTTTCTACCCAGAATTTCCTATGCAGCCAAACTAAGCTTCATAAGTGAAGGAGAAATAAAATCCTTTACAGACAAGCAACTGCTGAGAGACTTTTGTCACCACCAGGTCTGCCTTGCAAGAGCTTCTGAAGGAAGCACTAAATATGGAAAGGGAAAAACTGGTACCAGCCACTGCAAAAACATACCAAATTGTGAAGACCATTGACACTACAAAGAAACTGCATCAATGAACAGACAAAACAACCAGCTACCACCATAATAACAGGACCAAATTTACACATAACAATATTAACCTTAAATGTAAATGGGCTAAATGTCCCAATTAATTAAAATATACAGACTGGCAAATTGAATGAAGAGTCAGGACCCATCAGTGTGCTGTATTCAAGAGACCCATCTCATGTGCAAAAACACAGCTAGGCTCAAAATAAAGGGATGGAGGAATATTTACCAAGAAAATGGAAAGAGGAAAAAAAGCAGGGATTGCAATCCTAGTTTCTGATAAAACAGACTTTAAACCAACAAAGATCAAAAAAGACAAAGAAGGGCATTACATAATGGTAAAGGGATCAACGCAACGAGAAGAGCTAACTATTCCAAATATGTATGCACGTAAAACAAGAGCACCCAGATTCATAAAGCAAGTCCTTAGAGACATATGAAGAATTAAACTCCCACACAATAATAGTGGGAGACTTTAACACCCCACTGCCAATATTAGACAGATCAACGAGACAGAATATTAACAAGGATATTGAGGACTTTAACTCAGCTCTGGACCAAGTGGACCTAATAGATATCTATAGAACTCTCCACCCCAAATCAACACAATATACATTCTCAGCACCACATCACACTTATTATAAAATTTATCACATAATTGGAAGCAAAACACTCCTCAGCAAATGCAAAAGAATGGAAATCATAGCAAACAGTTTCTCAAACCATAGTGCAACCAAGAACTAGGATTGAGATAAGCACTGAAAACTGCACAACTACATGGAAACTGAACAACTTGCTCCTGAATGAATATTGGGTAAATAACAAAATTAAGGCAGAAATAAATAACATTTTTGAAACCAATGTGAACAAAGATACAATGTACCAGAATATCTGAGACATATTTAAAGCAGTGTTTAGAGGGAAATTTATAGCACTAACTGTCGACAGGAGAAAGCGGGGAAGATATAAAATTGACACCCTAACATCACAATTAAAAGAACTAGAGAAGCAAGAGCAAACAAATTCAAAAGCTAGCAGAATATAAGAAATAACTAAGATCAGAGCAGAACTGAAGGAGATGGAGACACAAAAAACCCTCAAAACATCAATGAATCCAAGAGCTGGGTTTTTAAAAAGATCAACAAAATAGATAGACTGCTAGTCAGACTAATAAAGAAGAAAAAAGAGAAGAATCAAATAGATGCAATAAAAAAATGATAAAGGGGATATCACCACTGATGCCACAGAAATGCCAACTACTATCAGAGAATACTATAAATACCTCTATGCAAATAAACTAGAAAATCTAGATGAAATGGATAAATTCCTGGACATACAAAGAGAATTAGACTCCCAAGACTAAACTGGAAGGAAGTTGAGTTCCTGAATAGACCAATAACAAGTTCTGAAGTTGAGGCAGTACTTAATAGCCTACCAGCCAAAAAAAGCCCAGGAAAGACAGATTCATAGCTGAATTATACCAGAGGTACAAAGAGGAGCTGGTTTCATTCCTTTTGAAACTATTCCAAACACTAGAAAAAGAGGGACTCCACCCTAACTCATTTTATAAGGCCAGCATCATCCTGATACCAAAACCTGGCAAAGACATAACAACAACAAAAAAAGTAAATTTCAGGCCAATCTCCCTGATGAA